TAATTAGAATGCAGGCATGATCCTTAGGCCAAAAAGGGATTTTGATCACATCAGCGATGTTTATTTTCTACTAGTTTTTAATAAACATCCTTAAATCTTGGCTTTGAATAGACCGTTAGAGTGTTGTTACATTAAGTATAACTTAAGTATGGCTTAAAATATGTATATTAATATGTATGCTATGTATCTTTTATGAAGAATAGCTCCATGGAATCTTTTTCCTTTAGAGAGACCTTTGTTATGATTACCTATGTGCATATATACAATGGTATGTACATGTCTTCTGACTGAGAGCAATTGAATCAGAGGTCACTTTTTACAGTCTTTCATTTTAATGAAAATGTAAACATTATTTATTTGTGTATAATTCTCAGTATATTTTTTTAAAAATGTGATTCAAGATAGGAATTCTTTGTGATAAGATTTTGTTGATGCCTTACAATCAGATGACGCTGCTGAACATGCCCAGACTATTTCATCAAAGCAATGGTGGTCGTGTATTATTCTGTCATTGATTATTAAAAGTACACGAAATTGTTCCACTTGTTATTCTGACTTTAAAGAGATGGGAAAAGTTCCTGTCCTGACTAACCCCAATTCATTCTTTACTTGGCACTGTATTAAAAAGGTTGCAGCTGAGTCTTTTTGTGCTGTCAGGAAATCAATTATCCTGTCATGGTTTCATACCTTATCTACATAGGTATGTCATCCTGGCTGATAGCCCCAGCCTCCTCTACTAGCTTTATTACAGTTCTTTTATAGACCTATATTAATTCCATCATTTGCCCTCAGGTAGCAGGCGGCATGCAGAGATATTTGTTAAAAAGCTCAATATGGTGATGCATGGTTGCCATACTGAAAGTAGCACATGCCTGAAACTTACTGATCTGCAGTCTTTTGGCTCATCCTGCGTGGTCTCATGTAAACTCTGTAGATGTCAAGAACAGCCTGTAGGAAAAGTTTTGTGCCCTGCTTTGTAATGCTTTTTTTTTTTTTTTTTTCTTTCTGGTTGCAAATATTGAAGTAAAGATAGGAAACACTATGAATTTTAATTTCCTTCTGGTTCTAGTTCTCTTCTGCTCAGACATATGGGGGAGGTTATTGAATTTCTGATTCTGCAAGTTTATCTTGTCATCACTTGAAAATGTTGTTAGTAATGGAAAAGCCCTGTTAGTTGTAGGACATACTGCCCAGATACCTAAGCAAGATGAATTTCTTTCATGCACATTACAAATATTCTTACCAGCTTAATTCATAAATATTTAAAGCAGTGCTATTCTGTTAGTTTCCAGGGGATAGTGTTCCATAGCAGGGCATTTGCAGAACCTTTTTTTTTTCTTTTTTTTTTTTCAGGATGATTCTGTGGAGTTCTTCCATAGAGTATTGCATCTGCACTAGAATCCAGAGTTCAGTCCTTCTAAAATTAAGCTGGAAGTTCAAATCCTTGATCTCTTTATGAACTGGATAATACACAGATTCCCTAGTGAAGCACAAATAGTTAAACCTGTCTTCTACTTTCTATGCAAGAAGAAAGGTCATGTCTTAAGTTCCTTTTTTTTTTTCCAAGTACTTAATTAATTTGTTACAAACTGTATTGCTGGTAATTCTTTTCCTACCTTTCTTTACTCTGCTTGATTTTCAGCTAAATCTCAACCTATTCACCATTTCCAAGGAACATATGTATCTATTCAAGCATTAATAAACAAAAAACAGACAAACAAAAAAAAACCACCCAAAAAACCCAAAGCAAAAACCAACCAAACAAAAAAAGCCTACAGAAGATGCTTTCTCTAGAGTTTTTAATCATCTTTTCCAATCAGGCAGAAACATATCTATTCATAACTAATACTAATTTTATGATAGTTAGTTTCACTAACTTCTGAGGCAGTGTAACTAAAATAATTTTCCTTTTTTTTTCTTTTCCCATCTCAGGTTTCATAATTTCAATATCTCAGATAGCAGTCTACTGACACATCAGTCAGTTGAACAATAGCAATTAGCAAACAGCCTTCACTTGTAGGTTAGGGATGGTAATCCAGAGCTTTGGAAAAACACAACTGAAGTTTGTTGAAAGTAATACAAATCTAGAAACTAAAAAAACCACATTTTTTTGGGATAATAAAAAAGATTAAGAATCGTTATCTAGCATTTACAATGCACCATATAAAGCAAAGTTGGCTGGACATGAAGTTACAGACCAGTGAAAAAAGAGCAAGGTCTAAAATGCTCTAAAAACCTTGGAATTGCTTATGTCTCTGTCATAAAGATTAACCTTCAGTTGTAGATCCTACAGCTCTGCCACTTTTCCAAATCTTTGATGTGATCTGTTGAGGATCTGCTTGCTCTTGAGAGGAGCAGTGAAAAAGGTGAGAATAATGTGCACTGAAAAAAGGTAATAGTAGGAGACTTTACTGGCTAAGTTGTAGTACTTAGTTGTAATTAGTTGTAGTACTGTTAATCACATTGTTATGTTTAGACTATCACTAACTCTGTAATTGTATTAATAGTAGTTGTTGTCTTTTGCATTTTGGTTATATTTTTGATTTTTTAAATTAATAATTTAAGTTCTTCATTTGACGTTTACATTGTGCTCTACTTTTTCTGCATAACAAGATATCTAGTTTAACAAAAGTCATAAGAGAGCTGGATTCTTTAGGTACTGGATTAGAGAAATGTAAAATGTTAATACCAAGCACTTTAGCCATCGGCTGTGTGTAGACCCACCATAACAGATTATTTTATCCTTTTGCTGAGATATGATGACTTTGTATCAGCATCACCATGTATAAAGTTTCTCTCTGTCTAGTTCTCCTAAACGTGTACTTACAAACTTCATTTACAAATTTAACCAGTGTTAGTGCATGTTTTAATAGGTGTATTTAAATTCTTTGACTTTGGGAGTTAGTAGTAGGGTGAGCAAATATAGAAAAATCTAGAAGTCTTGCTAAAGTGAATTTTCTGTAGTTTTCTTTATTATCCTGCTAACTTTCATGAATGATAACTGATTATCGCTTTCTATTAAAAGCAATCAATCTTTTATTTACAACCCTGCCACTTCCAAAAAGCAATTAATAAAGCTTAGATTAAACCTGTATAAGCCAATCCTAAGGTCACTAGCATGGTTAACTGAACTGTAAAAAGACATCTGTCTTTCTGCGTGTATCTGAGCAAATATTTGCAGAAACATAAAATAGTGAGGTTATCAAGCTGTCAAGGTCTTAAATTTGTTACTTTTATTAACTTGAAGGGGGGAAAGTTGTTGTTTATGATACTACAAGATGTGGCATCCCCATGTTTCATGACTGTTTCAGAGTTTTATAAAAGAAGCCCTTTGCATTCTTGGAATGCTGAACACCTGCTTTTTTGTATTTAAATTTGTGGCCTGCTGTTTCAATTCCATATGAAATGTGTGATGGTCAGAATCAACACGTATCCACACAAATTCAGAAATTTTTAAGCAGTAGGGATAACCAGAATGCTTTATTTGACAGAAACAATTTTTTATCTTAAGTAGTATAACCCAGAGAATTTACTCAGGTGCTCCTTTACTAAACTTTGGTGGAATAATTAATTTGTATAAAATTATGCAAGCAATCCATATAGGTAGTGGAAGAGTATCTAGGAAAACAAAAATATATTTTTAAATGATTTTAATAAATGAAAGAGCACAGTTATTTAAATTGTCATTATTAGAAAATGCTGAACAGAAATAAAGAAAAAATGTGAAAAATAGCTAAGTAAGTTTTTTAAAGAATATATTTTTTAAAGGATATTTAAGAAAAACTGTTGTTTTCAGTGTCTGAAGTGGAAAACCTACCGTTCTTTGTTATGTTAATGGTGATTGACATTCACATTTATCAGTGAAATAGAAAGGCTCACTTCTAAGTTGAATTTATATGGTCTGATCTTTCTGACATGAGATGTTTCTGTTTCTACTTTTTTTCTTCTTTAATAAAGCTTAGATTAAACCTGTATAGATTTTATATATATAAACCTGTACTCTTAAACATCTATTTAATAGGAGAACCAGCTCTTTTTTACAGCAGAGTTTTCTCTCAGGCTCTTCAGAACTCTCCCCGGCTTTTCAATGTTTTAAAATCATAACAGGCAGGAATGGATATGAGGTTCCAGTATCTATCTTACCTGCTCCATACATGGAAGTAAAGTCATATTTGTTTGTCTACTACCTAGTTTATTGTTTATTTACCTGTGGCTTCTGTTAACGCCTTGGTTGTTTATAACATCACAAGATGTCCAATTATTCACCACCAACTCCAAATTTTGAAATAGTTTTACCAGGCTACAGTCCCTCTGTTCTGTTCTGCCTGTGTGAGTACAACTTCTGTTTTTTGTAGGGAGATTTTTTGACCTTGACATGATCTTTAGTGTATGATTATGTCTACCAAAGACATATCATATGTACCTGAAGAATTTTCTATTTCAGTTTTCAGTTTTTATATGCAGTTCATTTATGAAGTAATATTTTTTGACATCTTAAATTAATATCTTACTGCAGGATTATATCAGCATTAAGATAATGCCGTTAGGAAGTATCAAGCAAAATAAATGTCTTTTATGACGTTGACTTGTTCATTTATTTATAGGGTTTGGTGGCCTAGTTTTGGACTTCAGCATACGATAAAAATTTGTTTTACTGTGCGTCTGAGTAGAGTAGTGGAGTAGAACTTTTTTTTTTTTTTCAGCTCATATTTTAGAGTAAAATATTTTCACTTTCTTTCTGTGGCCCAATCTTTCAGAAACATGCAGGTAGGCTGAATTTTTGCACATCGTCAGTAGTTCCCTTAATATGCTTGCATTGTGCTGACTTTACATGGTGGCAGTTTTGGCTAAATAAGTGTATGCTTAGAGACAGGATTTACTTAAAAATTTCAGTGTCTTCATTTTGTTTACTTTTTTTTTCTGCTGAAGGTGGGTTTATAAAAATAATGTGATACTTCATGCACCTAAGAGACTTTAATTTTACTTTTCTTCTTGTACAGGTGATTTTGCAAGAAATGACACAGGCTCTCCTCCCTTCTCTCATCCTGACTGAACGTTTCACCTCTGCATTAGTGTAAGGCCTTCAGTTTTCGGACACTCTCTCTCATTTTATTTGATCTATTAGCTCCAATTCTAATCATATTGTATTATAGTGTGTTATCTTGCATTCCGGTATGTTATTTAGTAAATTAGTTTGTTTCTCCTCAGATTATTGCTGCTGTTTTGTTTTGGGGCTGATCTCTCTACCCTTTTTCCTTTATCTCTGTCTCACTCCAATTTATAGGAGGGAGATGAGGTTCTTTTAATATCTGTATACCCGGCGTGAGATTAAGAAACAATAGTTCAAATGTTGGTCCAACCAGTTTATTCTAAATCCTAATTAGGGAGATGGAGAGGGGAAGGAGGATGATAGAAGAGAATTGAAAAAGAGAAGAGAATGAAAGAAGCAAGAATAGTGTAAAGTGGGGATAGTCACCACCGAGATCCAGCAGTGGTCCCATTGCATGCTGTTTTGAAGGTCCAAGGCAAAAGCAGCAGGGGGGGAGAGCAGCAACAGCATGGCTGGCCTTGGGCAGCAAGCAGGTAGCAGGAAGAAGTCGCAGAGCCAATTCAGGATGAAGCAGCAGGACTCAGGTAGCAGGGCCAGGAGAGTCTGTCAGCATGCAGGAATTCTGTAGTGAGGAATCTGATGGTAGACACCTTTGTTCTTTTTCAGCATCGTGGTAGAGAGCAGAGCAAGTCCAGGAGGGAGAGAAGCAGGTCATGAGGCTTCTCATGTCAGAAACCTCTTCTGCTTCATGAGGAATCTGTTGCCAGAAAACCTAAACCTCATGATTGTAGGTCCCCATTATATCCTTCTTCTTTTTCTGTTTACGTGACATCCTTGGGTGTTTGAGCAAGAGTCATGTGAGACCCCCTGAGATGGCCATCTTCCTTGACATAAGTCCACACAAAAGACCTCTTCGCAGCCATTAATCTGCAGTTATCTCTTGCCCCTGGTCTTGTCTATCTGTCTCCCTTAGACAAAGGATTTCTCAACCCTTGCCCAAGACTTGTTTGGACTTGTTCATCTGCGTCCCCAGCAAGCTATGAGACAATGATGTAAAAGAATAATCTCTAACACCACCCTGTGACTTAGAGGTTGCTTTAAAATGGAACACAAATGATCCATGATGGTGAGAAAAAGATAGCAAGCATAAGGGTGAAGGAGGAAAGGGGGCAGGGAATCAAATGTTTCACACAATCATTACAAAATATTTTTCAGGCTAGGCCCTGATGTGCTTGACTTCCCCATCAGTAGAGGAGGTTACAAAGTACATAGATGATACTATGCACTGTATAAAACATGGAACCATACAAGAAACAAACATAAGAGTTGCAACAGTATACAATATCAACTTGCCACAGACACCACTCCTTGACTCTTCAGGAGTGGTGACACGAATATTACATAATGAATAAAAGGTAGAAAGTGAAAAGAGACAACCATACATTTAACCAGCTGTTAAATTGTCACAGAATTGAGACAATTATGTAGGTATCTTTATACGTCAGTCATAAAAGTGATAGACTAGATGGTGCTATCTTCAGTCAGTGGGAGCAACTATATTTTGGGGAGTTAATGGAAGACTCAGGAGAGGGGAGGGGAGAAGCAAGGTCTGGGCAGAGCTTTGCCCTCTTATTCGATAATTGTTTTGCTACTAAGATGTAGCCTGGCTTTTCCCTCTTCACAGACCTTAGATCCCTGTCTGCTTGGGCTCAGGCTGACTTGCTTAAAATCCATCCTGTCTCAGATTGTGACCCATACTGTGTCTCCACTTTTACGGAGTTGGAATTGGTAGAGATGTGACAAGGTAACCATCCGTTGTCATCTTACTGTGAATTCACAGTGAAGGTCACACCTCTACAGTCTTCTCTGTAATATAGCTGATGTCAACACTTCTTCTCACCACTGGTTTAGCTCATTTAAAACTGCAGTGTCTGGCCTCCCTGAGGAATTGAGGCAAGGCAGCTAATGCATGTATTATAGTATAATCTCACTTTTTTGACAGCAGAGAGAAAGCTTGGAAAGTATCTATTTAAGAGTCTGGAAGACACTTGAACTTCTTTCTGGGAGTTCTAACTAAAGTAGAGGATCATTCATTTTGTTAAGAATTCAACAGTAAAGGCTGCCAGGAACTTACTTTTCATCTAGTGGGCAAAGTCTGTCTAGCAAAAGTTGGTAGTGAATCAGTCCCTGTAATTGCAAACTACACTTACCATTTCTGTTACTTTTTTTTTCTTTCAGGCAAGAATCATGACACCCAATTCGGAGTGCCATTAATGTACAGAAAGAAATGTAAGAAGATATTGGTTGGCTTTGAATGGGGTGTAAAATGCACCAGTATTTCTCTTCAAATTTGCTCCTGTATGAAGTGCTTTTCAGCATTTAAATCATTTTGTAAGTTATATGAATTAATACTATATTTTATGTTTTTACTTTTTATTATACTTAAACTGCTTGCAAAGGCAAAAGCAAAGAACCATGACATGTTAGGGCCACAAACTTATAGATGATTGTTCTATTAGATAAGTGGCGTAATATGATGTCTTAAAGATAGAAAGATAGGTTCCTATCACTTATGTCAAGTTGAGGCCATACAAATTCTTGGGATTAGCATTAAAATACGTAGTCTGGTAGAATTAACCCGAGTTTATGAGGAGTGGTTTATTACAAATGATGCACTTTTCACTCTTCCACATACCACAGCTATGTTCTGTGAGAGTGGATGCCTTATTTTACAGGATAGCTCCAGACTGTGAAATTTTACTTTCCTGAACAAACAGTAATTTTTGAGAAAATGGTTCTCGCTAATTTTGACTTTGTAATAATTTTCAAGTACTTTTTTCTGCATAAATGATCCAGATAGTTTTATTTCAATTAACTTTAATGGGAGGTGAGATTTGGCAGATTGCAGCAAGTTTTAATGTTTAAATATTTGCTTAAAATGCATGGTAGCTGTTTATGTCTGTGTTGATCTGGCAATACATCCTAAGAATGTTCCTCTCATTTTTTCACTATGTAATGTGAAACAAAATTCCTGCATAATTTTAAAAATGACATAGCTGTATTTCTCTGCTAGTGATGCATCTATCTTTTCTCCAAAACGGCTACCCACTCTTATGAGTATACTTGAAAATATTTTTTTGGTTTAAGGTTATTATTCAGTATTTCTAGGTCATACTTTCCCATAATGAAAAGGGAGTGGAGGATACCTTGAGGCTGTTTCCAGAAAAAATTGCCTTCAAACAGTATCTACCAAATGTTGAACATGTGTTCTAAAGGTAATTAGTAAGAAGGAGAGTAGAAGGAAAGTGACATTTTTCTTTGAGTGTGAATTACTTATAGACATTCTGTTTTGGAATCCCAGTGTCCTGTGACCTTTCTTTCTTTCTTTTTCTTTTTTTTTTTATTACCTTACAGCTATTCAATAGCTAATGTGCCAATATTTGTTACAATTTAGTCTGTGGGACAGTGGTTTGTTAATATTTTAGCAACAACACAGCAATGTAATTATCTGTAAATCTTTTAGCATGTATTTCATTCTTGTGGAAGCTATCCAATCAGTCAAAGAAAAAAAGCCTAAGCATTTCATATCAAACTTTGAGCCTTCTGCAATGCACTCTTTTTTATTTCAACTTTCTTGATTTATTAGGTATATTCTTTGAAAAAGAATAGGTTAGGATATAACCCTATGAATGGAGGCATTGTCATCTTATACGCAAAGAGTCTGGCATTATCTCTGTAATATCTGTATGTATAATTCACAAGTTTGATTCATATTTGACACATCTAACATATTTGATATGAGACGTTTATGGCAAATATTTTCATTTTGAAGTGGAACTTTCTTCACAGCTTTTTGAATAAGACTGCAGATTTCTTTTTGACCTGTGTAATAATGTATCTATACTGGAATATGTGTGTGTACAGGACTATTTATGCATAATCTCTCTTCACACTGTGTCCTCAAAAGTCTACCTGTGGTTTTGAAGTCAGAACGATAGATGAGTAATAGGCTCTGCAGTCCTCATAGTGAAAATCCGTCCCCGTGCAAGTGGCTATAACAAGGTCAGTCATTACCTAGAGGTGACATAAACCATGAAAATGTATGCTTAGAAGGCATATACTTGACACAGTGTAAGTCTTATCTACCCTTGTCTGGGGATAAATGACTAAAGAGATATCTGCATGTTTACACATCCGAGTTCCACTCACATTGAGATGGGAACAATAAACATGAAAATATTTGTCTGCAATCTGCATTTTGTATTTGCAGTCTGTCAAAAGTGTAAAGTCATTTTTTTGAATACACAAAAATGTACTCAAAATCAAGCTTTCTTGTTAGTGATATGTGAACACTATTACTAATTATTTAAGGAGTTTGATCTGATTTTCTGATTTGTTATTGTTGTAATGGGGAAAAGTGCTTTCAGCAATCAAATGAGAGATATATTGAACTGCCTTAAATGTAATAAACATGAAAATATTTCTCTGAGTGATTGGAAGATAGAGGGCAAAATCTTGCAATGGAGTCTCAACCATCTGATTGTGAAGAATGATATCCTAGAAAGCTGAAGGAAAAATAACAGTAAGGATTCAGAGGGAGATGAATGTAATCCTGCAAACATCGCTGGAGACTAGTTGCCATAGTTTTTGTGCAGGGTATTTTTTGGATGTTTGAATAATAATATAGGAAATATTTTTTCCCAGTGAATCATCATATACACTATATCATATACACATATCATATACATGCATTATTCAGTCCACTTCTTAAAAGTTCATTTAATACTGTTTATGTACGTTAATCTACATTTTTCTTTTTCTCCATTAAGATAACTTCTACTGTAAAGAAGAATTCACTTGGATATGCTTTATTATACCATTAATATACATTCCTAATAACCACATGGAAGATTAGTATGGGGTAGTTAATGTGCTGTAAATTCACACCTGAACTTAAATTATAGTAATGGGGCTGTGAAAAAGGCGAGTAACTACATATGTTTGTTTCATATAAGTTTAAAATTTAAACTATGGATAATTTTCTTGTTACTGTGCTCAAGATAGCTTTTCTGCTGTAAACATAGGCTTAATTTAGCAGTCAAGTGGGTTATGATTGTAAACAAAAGGTGACTGTCAAAGTAAATAGACTTCTATGGATTTTTTAAAAAATTATTTTACTTTAGCAACTCATAGTATATATTAGCAACTCATAGTATATACTAGCAGGTAGTCTACAATAAAAAAAATAATTTGTTGCTAAAGTATATAGCTTATAAAAATATGCATTTTGAGCTAGTGTTTTATGGATATATAACTTGTCGTGTTGTGAATGCAGACTTAATGAGGAACATAGATTATTACTATTTTTAAAAAATATAATTCGGGCAATATCTTCTCTTGTTTATTATGATGTATACAGATCTGAGGATTTGAGATTAGAAGAAGACATGTTTTCCTCCTCTGGATATACCAACAAGTGCAGAGTCCTGTTAACTGATATGCTCCCAATAGTCTATTCTAATTGACATCTTGAACATTTTTTAATTTCATCGTTATTGGCCATATTACTGAGGGCTAATAACTGATATAAATCCGTTTCCATAGTTTAACTGGAATAACTGCTCTCTACCCTGGAGTACACTCTGAAAGAAAGAAAGTCTTACCAAATTGTGAAATTTTGAAGCTCTGCTACTGTCATTACAGAGTACAGAATGAATTGCAGGTGAGGTTATGTCACTTACAGGTGTTTCTGCAATTGTGGTGTCATTTTAAAATACATCTCCAAAGAAAAGCAATCTCCACTAATCCACTCCAAAAGCTGCAGTAATAATGAAGCCTGATTTCTCTTAATGAATGTCTTTAACTCTCATTCATTTTTAAATTTTGACTTCTCACAGTGGAAGTAGGAGCACCCTAGAATAATATGTCTACTTTTGTTTTATATGGTCATAGATAAATAATGCTGCAGAATGAAATCAAGGTACATAATTATAAAAAAAAAAAAAAAGTCAAAAAAAAAAAAAAGTCAGATGATATATATCCACCTGATTCCAAATAGTGAACATTGCCTTGATGTTGCACGCACATTCCAGATACGCTTTATTCTAGTAACTGTATTTTGTAGTATTTGTATTTATAAGTGTATTTTGACTGGAATAGTTCTAGCATGAGTGTGAAATCATCTCTTTAAATCTATTTAAAAGCCACAAGCAGACTGCTGTGAGGATTCAGCAGAGCTTCTTGTAGAAAAAATACATAGAAACCATACGACCCTTGGACATTACATTTGTTTTATACATATCTGTTCACATCTTGTCTGTGTGCCCTACCTAAGTCAGAGCCCACTGAAGCCAAAATTGCCATGGACATTAACAGAAGTAGGATAACTTTTAAACTGAAAAGTTTATATTTCATACATTAAGAAAAAAAGTCCTTCAACAATCATGAAAGTGAGTTTCAATTGGAAAAATAAACTGGGGGAATGTGTCTTTGAAAATCCCATTCTCAGCAACCAGTAAATGAAAAAAGATTTAAAAAACGTTTACTGGCAATAAAAAATATATTGTCAATACCTAAATAGCAATAGTAATGGGAATATATGTGTAACATGCAGCTGATGAGAATTAGGTATGTCTATGCAGCGAAAAGATATAGACTTTTCCAGTCTTTATTTACTTCAGTAAAGTTAGGGAGTAAATATCTGAATATTTTAAAGAATGAAAGTTTGAAAATAAAAGAATCCCAATAAAATCACTGAAAAGAAAAGAAGACTTCATAGAAGCAAAATCTAGCGGCAAAGTGGTATAATAGAGTTGTCAGTCAATGTAAACAATCTTACTAAGTAACAGTGAACATTCCTAGTAATAAGTATACACAGAAAATAGAGTAAGTGATCTATGTGTCTGTATCAGATCTCTTTTAGGAATGAAACAAAAAATTACACAACAATGAAAAAAATGGAACGTAAGAAAGCAGGCTAAGAACAGTAGAACAATCAGAATAAGCAACAAAAATTAGTTTCAAGGCAAAGTAATAATAAAACTTGTATAAATAAATGGAAAGATCAAGAAAGAAAATATTGTATGGCACAGTAAAGACTACTATATGCAGGTCTTTTCCTTTGTAAAAGAAAAAATACTGTGATGGATTTTAAGATAGTACGTTTGAAGGGTGTACTAATTTTAATTGAAAAAGAGTAGGTTACATGAAATGTAGGTAAGTAAAATGAAGGTGAAAGGTAAGGTGAAACCTTCTTCTCATCACTGATTTGTAGAGGTCTACCTTCTGTCTGAACTAATTCTGGATCTGCAAATTCCATATGGATTA